TTGTTCTTTTCCTTCTTCATGAACTTTTAAGAGAAAATATAACTCTATTAAAAGTGTTTTGGTTAAAACACAGCAAGAAAGTCTGTTCAGTGTTCTTGAGAAGATGGGACCATGACCATGTTACCATCTTTTGGGGAACATTACATGACCCTTAAGATTCTCCCCAGGTTCAAAGGTAGATATTTTTACTCTGGAGACCTGACCTGCAGATGTTTCAGACCTCATATTTAGACTCCCAACACTATTGGACAACTTGTTATTTATTCCAAACTTGAATGGAATATTTTCTGAAGATATAGATGCCATTTTGTCTCTTGATGGTACTCCACACTAAAATTTGTTAGAAACACATCACTTTAATCTATTTCATATAGTATATATTGCATATGAAGCTGGCAGGCCATCAGGGGACCAACCCGGTCCAGGTTTCAAGTGGTTCTGAAACTCCAGTAGTATGGGTACTTACCTAGAGTGAGCCTGGGGTATCTGCTTCGTGATTTGGAGTGCATTTCAATCTCTCAGCTAGATTTTGCCCTAGTGAAATACGGGATCTCTAGGCAAATGTTTCAATTCTGAGCGTCTTAAAAGATTCCATTTTCCTTTAGTGAGTGTGATGTAAAAAGCATTGAATCAGTCAGGAGACATTGGTCCTAGTGTTAGCTCTGTCCCTGACTAGTAGCCATATGAACTTAGGCAGATCATTTAACCTCAGTTTCCTTTTCTATAAAATGGGTAGCATGGAGTTGTGTGTATCAAAAGGGGAAATTGTGTATTTTAAGGCAATTATTAGATGTTTATATATACAAATATTAGATATTATTGTTGTTATTCCTTCCTGTAACTACCTTGTTCCTTTCTAGCCCTGGTCTTCCTTCTTGAAATAATCCAAGAAAAAGCTATAGAAACTGCAAAGCAGACTAGAGTACAGGGTTAGAAACTGGGAATCCCTATGGCCTGGCACTAATTTGAATTTGTGATCATCTGCAAATTGTGGCAAATCATCTGTTGCATTTTACTGCAGCTTATTTCAAAATAGAAAATAATGGGTTGTGTCAGTAGTTCTTGAAGGCTTTCAAAAACTGCTGGCTAAGGCTTTGGAGGCAGTTTTGTTGTTGAAAATTCCTTCAATCAAGAAACCCTTGCTTCTGTAATCCTAGTCTCTTTTGTTATCTCTTTGATGGCTTCCATGGTCCCTTCCAGCTCTAAATCAGTGATCCTGTGGTCCTTATTTAGTCTTCTGTGCAGATAGGGATTAATTGACATCTAGCCCCTGAACCCCAGTTTTCATGGACCCTTCTATCAGTTTGAGTTCTCTACTCATTATTCCACCTTCTCCCCCTCCCAATTATTTCATATTATATTTGTGTGTAGTCCCCAAACTGAATACCCATAAAAGTTGATCACTGCCAAGTGCCAAGGTAGAAGGATCACTTGACCAGAAGTCAAGGTCTAAGTTCTAGTTTCTGCTCTGCTACTAACTTTCTGTATAACCTTAAGAAAGTTACTTTACCTTCTTTGAGCTTTCGTAGGTAAAGTAAAGGGGTTAATACTGATTCCATTGCTTTATTAAAAAAAAAAACCTGTTGGAGCAAAATAAAAGGATAGGCTATAAGTTTAAGAGAGTATCCAGAACTTAACAGCATCCTTTTAAGCAGTCTTAAATTGTCACTTGATTTATCCTGTATACTCTGTGTCGAGTTATTTGTTACACTGATAACTACTGAGTGAAATCATCACAGTTGGGGAAAAAATGGGTTTCTGCTGGTTGGGAAATAGCAAATTGTGGTATGTGAAGGTGGTGGAATAAGAGTAACATAGGAAATATTTATGAACTGGTACAGAGTCAAGTAAGCAGAACTAGAAGCACAATATTCACAAAGACTACAATAGTGTAGATGCCAAAATGAAGCCAAATGCTGAGTAATTGCACTCAACAAGCGTGGTCCCAGAGAAGATTGGTGGAAACACCACCTTCCTTGTAAAGAGGCATGGGACCAAGGGTGTGTGCTGTCAGACGAGGCCAATGTGTAGGTTGGTTTTCCTTAGCTATTGGGGTTTTTGTATTTTTGTTTTGTTTGGTTTGGGGAGGGTTAGAGATGAGGTGTTGAGGGTTACAAGGGAAGTCTCGTTTGGTGGGAGACATAGGTGTCACTATCCAAAAATGACTGTGATGTGAAAACAAAAGGCATTAATAAAATTTATTTTAAATAAATAAATCTATCAACAAGCATTTCTTAATCACTATATGCTAGGCACTGTGTTAAGGTGATTAAAAAAAAAAAGGTAAAAGTGGTCCCTAACCTTAAGGTCAAATAAAATAAAATAGAGGGGGTGGACTAAATGATCATTGAGGTCCGTTCCAGAGCTAACGTATTATTCTGTAAGTAAGACATGCTTTAAGTTGCTTTTTTCATTTGTCATTATATGTTATATTTGATGACCAGATGTGCAGTCAGTAGTAATACAAGAGAATAAAGTGAAGACCTACGTAAGGTTTAAGCGCATATTTGATCTCATTAGCATGGAACTCCAAACCACTGAGTTAATCAACTTAGACAATAACTAATACAGAGTATTAGTAGTAAGTAATAAATAATTTATGCTTATAATAAGTAAGCATTTAATTCAACACCAAAGTGTGCAAAATAACAAAATAATTTGAGGAATAATTTAAGAGCCTGTCAGAGGTGATACAGAAATCAGTTATGTTAAAGAATACCACAGGTACCTGCTAAGGTGTTCTGAGTTGTTGGGCCTCTCTGATATGCCCAAGCCCTTACATCTCTCTGGGTATTGTACCCAGAATTGTTGCTGCCACCACTATCCCTGATTTCTGTAAGAACTTTGAGGTCTTGGTTCTCTTGGTAGAGATATGGATACTCTTCTGCTTCCCTTAATTTGATAAGGTTGACTTCTTTTTCTCCAAAGAGAACTTTACTAGGGAGTTAAAGAGAAAGTAAAAGGAAATAAAAGACAAAAATTGACAAATTGGATGGAGATTGGAGGTCAAAACTGGGATTTCATTGGAATGGGAACTCCTAGTGAGGAAATTCCCTCTGCCAATGAACTTGCCCTTTAGTTTATTCTTAGGGAGTTGCCTGGGATACTGAAAGGTGAAGTAATTTGCCGATGGGCACACAACCAGTATGTGTCAAAGGCAGAATTTATTCCCAGGCCTTCTCAGCTCTCAATTCACTGTGCCCCACAGAAATCTTGTTCTAAGCTACCACAAATTGATTTGACTAATACAGATAAAGATAAAAATCATTTTTCTATTCCTCTCTTCAACACTTGCTATATAAGGAAAGTCTAGAAGGATCTAAAATATATCCACTAGCCACTTTTGCTATTAGATGAAGCTTAGCTCCTCAGATTCAAGGTAAACTTCTCTTCCTAGTCTTATTAATGACCCTACAGCCAGTAATTGCAGCCATCAACTGTGCTGTGTTCAAGGGGCACAGATCACTTATTTTCTTTGCCCTCAGTTTTGCACTGCCAGGTCTCCTCTCCCTCCCATTGGATATCCCATTAAGTTCCTGGAGGATGACTCTATTTATCGCCCATTTGCAGAGCCAAGATGAAATATAAAGCCTAAGCAGAATAAATAACCAAATATTTCCTGCCACTGGTTATCAGCTCTGCTTACTTCTCATTTTCTTTAGTGATTTATCCTCTACCAATCTTCACCAGTCTCCCAAACATATCACACAACCAAAATTCTGCCATTCTACAGAGAACAATTTGGAACTATGCCCAAAGAGATATAAATATAAATATACATACACTCTTTGATCCAGCAATACCCCTGCTAGGTCTGTATCCCAAAGACATCCAAAAAAGGGGAAATTTTGTACAAATTTGTATTTGTACAAAAACATTTTTTGTGGTGGCTAAGAATTGGAAATCAAAGGGATGCCCATCAATTGAGAATGGCTAATCAAGCTATGGTACATGACTGTAATGGAATATTATTGTGCTGTAAGAAATGAAAAGCAGGATGATTTCAGAAAAACCTGGAAAGACTTACATGAACCGATGCATAGTGCCATGAACAGAACCAGGAATACAGTACACAGTAACAGCAATATTGTTCTATGAAGAACTGTGAATGACTTAGCTATTCTCAGCAATACAATGATCGAAGACAATCCCAAAGGACTAATGATGAAGCATACTATCTGCCTCCAGAGAAAGAGCTGATATTGTTTGAATACAGACTGAAGCATCCTGTTTTTTACTTTCTGTCTTTCGTTTTTTTTTTCTTTTGAGTCTTGTACAAAATGACTAACATGGAAATGTTTTACATAGTTGTACATGTATAACATATCTGATTGCTTACTGTCTCAGGGAAGGAGCACGAGAGGGAGGGAGGAATAGAATTTGGAACTCAAAACTTTAAATAAAAATGTTAGAGAATTGAAAAAATACTTTAAAGTGATTACAGTTTACATTCACAGTAAGAAAAGGGCCATGTTGTTATAGGAGATAATAATAACCAATCCTGAGATTGGTCAGAAAAGGATTTTTATTGAATGTTTTTTTATGAGTGACTTCTGTACATCAGATCAAGGAGAAAGCTAGAAAATTTTGAAGTGCGAACAATTGAGTTGTGTATATTGAAGAGAATAATATTGCTTTTGTAATGAAGAGCTGAAATATACTGAGATCAGCATTATATTTATGACTTAATTTGACATGTAATGATAAGGACTCTCAGTCCTTATCTCTTCTCAGTCCAGTGGTTGAACACCCTCATTTCAAAGGTAAAGAAACAAAAACACAGAGAGCTTAGGTGATGTGAAAAAGAACATGCTATTAGTAGTGCAGAGCCAGGACTGGAACCCAGGCCTTCTGACACTCCATCTAGTGTTCTTCTTAATACATGCAATATGCTGCCTTTCTGAAAATATTTTTAAATGAATGTTCTTGGCATTAACATTTATGTTTAAATATTATTTAAGGCATGACTGCAGCTTTTTTCACTTCATTGTTTTTCTAAGGTGAGTTCTTGGGTGACATGGCTGATACTCACAGCAGGCACCATGGAAGAAAAACGGGAAGTCTTCTCATATTTAGTACATATTGCAAAATGCTGCTGGAATATGGGCAACTACAATGCTGTTATGGAATTCCTGGCCGGCCTCAGGTATAGTCATTGGTGAATGAAATTAGCATTAAAACAATTACTGCAAACTTGTAATTCTGACATAATTCTATATAATTTTGTATCTTTCAAGTCACTTCACTGAATTGTTTTATTAGTTACTTTACATAAGCTAGCAGTATGTTGTGATTTAGAAACTAGAAAATGCAGCGGGTTCTGTTGGCTGTTCTTTTCCTTGCTCCTGAGAGACGATACAGAGGCTCAGCCTCACACCAGTCATCCAGAGTCTTAATTGGATGCTCATACATCGCAGATTTCTACCTTCTATCTGTGTACCCTTGCTGACTTGAGAGTTGAATGTAACCCTCACATTCACTTGGCTTTATCCAGGCTTTCTATTTTTGTAGGTCTTGAAGGTCCTTCAGTGTCACAAATTTCAGTATTTCAGATTAAGTTATTTTGACCTGGATGCTGAAAGATATGGAAAAAACAATGTTATATCAGGACTAGAGATGTTTAGCCTGGACAAAAGAAAATTAAGACAAGACGTAACAGTTGTTTCCAAATATTTGGAGGGCTGTCATGTGCAAGAAAAATGAGACATTTTCTCAGGGGGATAGAACTTCCATCAAAGGGACATTAAAAGAGATTTCAGCTCAATAGAAAAAAAATCTTTGCAACATTTTCACAGTTCTGCCTCTTAAAGGAATGAATTATTAATTAGAGTGTTTAAGGGCAAAAATGGATGACAATCTGTCAGGGGTATTATGAAGAGAGAAACTAGTTAATATCCAAGGCTCCTTCCAACTTAGGAATTCTTTATTATTCTGTCCAATCAGCCCTACCTCTCTCATTTCAACAATTCAGCAAGGATTATCAGGTTCTTTCTGTGTGCGATCCACTGTTCTCATCACTATCTTTATTAACTTTTATAGGTACTGCTAACTAATTAGGTTGTGTTTCAGATAGCGTTCATGTCCCAGTGGGACGAGACTCTGTTCCTATGTAACACCAGATAATGTGTTACAATGAGGTCCTAGCCAATAGGGTTTTAATGTCTTCACCACATCTCTCAGCTAGGCCTGCAAGATACTCCTCTTATCTTCATGTTTAGCTCCTCCAACCCTCTCACAAATCAGCAAGTCTGAGTTCTAAGAAGCTGACCACCACTACTTGTTGGTCTTAGGGGTAACCCTATACAAGAGAAATAGACTTCTCTGATTAGTATTCTATCTCTTGAGCCCCTGTCCTGTATGTTTTCTGTCTATACAATCAATCACTCACAGTAATAATCCTTAGATCTTAAACATAGCCGGTTTACTTTAATAACAACACAAAGCAAATAGTATTATAGATATTAATATGTTAAAGTAAATATAAAAGTAATCAAATGATAATATAAATAAATACAAACCTAGATCACAGTCTGCAGCCAATGCAGCTTTGGCAAGGAGTGGACACATACTTATAAGAAACTGGATTGGAAACACATGGGTGAGAAAAAATCCACATGCTCTAACTAACCCACAGCTCTAAGCTGCAGATTTCAATGTTACTGGTCCATTCAGTAATATTTATACCATATGAAATTATTTCTCTGCTAACTACTTGAGCCAAACTAGCATAAACTCCTTTAGTTAACCATCACCCTTAAAAGAACATTTAGAAAATATTAGCTCTTAATGTGAATAGCACTTTTCTATAAGCCATGCAAATTTCAAGCTCATCAAACTAGCTATCTCTGGGCTTATAGACCAGACTAGACCAGTGTAGCCAGTTACAAACTCTCCCAAACCTTTTGCCGTCAAATCAGAAAAGAGCTCATAGCAACACAATTCAGATTCAACTCACCAGGACACCCCAGCAGTTGCAAAGCCTCTTCTCTTCCGTCTCAAGCTAGAAATGGTAACAGAGAACAACCACCCTTATGAAAGGCTTCACCTTTCTCCAACTCTAGGTGGTGAGGAAGGGCAATACCTGTTACTGCAGCTCTTAGCCAATGACATCAGTTCTCTCCTGCCAATCAGGAAGCACTCAACTAAAGCCTTCTCAGCTGTCTTCCTCTAACAGTCACCATTCCAACAGGAGCAACTATATAGATCCCCTGCTGTTTCTTCCTCTCTTTTCAAGTTCCTCTTCCCTTGCAGATATCTTGCTGCTGTTTTCTCACTAAGAAGTCACAGCTCCCCTAATTCTTCTGTCAAATCAATAATCTTTTTCTAATCATACCTAGTCTCCAAATGCTTATAAGATTTTTCATTTTCTTAATTTTACCCTCTTTCATCATAAAATATGTATATGGAAATTATGGAGATACCCACTGTATTTCAGCTCTGGTATTTCCAGTAAGGCAATCTTGTCTCTTTAGTGCCCTTGAAATTATATTTATTTACATTTGTATTTCTTTAGTTTTTAATTAATAAAAAATCTTTCTCTGTTTCTTTATGATTTTAATCAAATAAAATAGTATTTGTAAATCACTCTACACTGTTAACAAAGAGATCCACGTCATTTCTTCACGTATATATCTTCTCATTTTGCATTAAAATAAAGTTCTTTTTCTACTTGGATTAGACATTAAAATGTTCATCCATAATAGACTGCACTCTTTGAGGATTAATACAAATCTCTTCCTTTACATGAAAGTACTTTTTAATGTCCTTTTCATTATTAACTGTGCCCTTACGAAAAAGGCCATCAAAAGAGAGTGTACCTTACACCAGCAACAATGAGTGAGTACCTCACTTCCTTCCTTCTCTGTGCTGCGGATTACATCTGTTCCATCAGTAACCCATTCTGACCTCCTGTCTTCAGTGACCTTTCCTGTTTGTCTCTTTAGGCATTGACCTTTAACATAGGATATTACATAAAATAATGCTCTGGCAAAAATACATGGCTAATTTAAATAGCATCACTTTAGGGAATTCAGTATTGTCATAATTTTATGACTTTGCTGGAGGCCTTATTTCATGACCAAAAAATTTCACGCAGATTTTGGAGGTCCCACCAGTGAAATCGAAGGCAAAAGGAATAGCCTTGGATTGCTGTGGAAAACCTATGTTGAAGCAGGATCTTGGGCCCAACCCAGAATGAATTTGTACGAGCCTCAGATTGAGTTACAGAAGCAGGTGTGTGGGGGGTGGGGTTTAGCCCTTAAAACCAAGGATAGCCTCGGACTTATCTTTACAGATTTATCTTTTTGGAACCTCTCCCCAGGCCCACTTCAGCTTAAACCCGTGTCCCTGGTGTTAGCCTGAAATGAAATTGGTTCTTGAAACCACATTGGAAGAAAAGGTACAGAATGATTACTAGAGCCGTTTGTCCACTTAGTAGTGTCAGACTATTATGTAAAGGTACAGATAGCCAGTTGCACTTTCAATAAAATGTGTGTGCAGACAGATGGTTGTGTATGTAATTGTGGCACAAAATGATGTACAAACGCTTGACCTCTGATGTTTACCCACATTATTATAGCTATTAAAACACTTATATCATTCATAGATTTCCAGCTAGAATGGACCTTAGAGGTATTGTTAATTATGACTGTCGTTCTCTCTTGTTTGAAGATATTTTATCGTATGTATCTCAAAACTAAATCTGTACTGGAACCTATGCCTGATCTTTTGGCTCTGTGGTTCCCAGAGAACTATGGGTGCTTTTTAACCTACAGGAGAAGAAGGCTAAAATTTCTTTCTTACGCAGTGTTAGTTGAAGTAAAGTGAAGAACTAGTCCATGTAGAGTTGTGACTGTTTACTCTTGAGTTGTTTTACTTCTCCTTCAGCCACCAAATTATGTCTGTTTGCAATAGGTCAAGGAAAGTTTTAAAGATGTGGCAGTTTATGGACCAGTCTGACATTGAAACCATGAGAAGCCTGAAGGATGCAATGGCCCAACATGAATCTTCCTCTGAATACAGGAAAGTGGTGAACCGGGCTCTGAATATCCCTGGCTGTAAAGTGGTTCCTTTTTGTGGCGTCTTTTTAAAGGAGCTTTGTGAAATTCTAGATGGAACATCTGGATTTATGAAACTTTGCCCACGATATAACTCACAGGATGAAACTTTAGAGGTAAATCCTTTCAAAGCTACAGTGGCTACAACCTGCCTCCTTTTTTGTATGTTTTTTTTTAGCTAATTAGTATTAATTAAAGGGAATACCTTGTTGCTATTGTGTTACTGTTGGTTCTTAACATATCACTAATATCTCCCAAACACCTCCAAGGACTATCATAAGCACTTAACTAAAGCTAGCTGACTGACTGACAAAATGCTACTTCTCTGTATTCAGGGCCTTATAGGATCATACATCTGGGCCTGGAAGGGATGTCAGAGATCATCTCTGTACTCCAGCCCCTTTATTTTATAGATGAGGGCACTGAGGTCCAGAGAAATTTCTTATCTTGCCTAAAGACACACAGCCAGTACAAGTCAGAAGTGAACATCGAAGGGAGGACTTGAACTCACATCCTCTGACCCTGGGGTCAGGGTTCTTTCCACCCAACCATGCTGCCTTCTTGTGTTCTATAAAGGGCAATATTCTGAAAAGAAGGTGTAGGCATGGACACAGGAAGAGAGCCTCTAGAAGGAAAACTGCTAATTTGTTTTCTGAATTTTAAAACTCAAGTGGTCATTTAATTTTTCCTTGGGGAAAATGAATGTAGAGCGACAAAGAAGCCTCCTAAGAGATGGAACAACTCATTTTAATAATGTAAAATAACAATAATGCTTTTTAATAAAAATAGCTAGCATTTATGTAGCATTTTAAGGTTTACAAAATACTTACAAATATTATGTTATTTTATCCTCACAACAACTCTGAGAGGTAGGTAGTATAACTATCTCCATTTTACAGATAGGGAAAATTAGGCAGTCAGAGGATAAGAAACTTGGCCAGTAAGTGTTTGATACTGGATTTGAATTTGGGTCTTACTACCTCCTGCTTCTGAGTTCTGTCCACTGTACCACCTAGTTGTCCTATCCTTAGGAGGATTATCTCCAGACTTCCATTCGCTGCTGCCTCTCATGCCTCCCAAGTGCATTACAAGTTTTTGAAGACCCTGCAAACAGGGGAGATGCTGTACACTTGAACTCTGAGACATCTAGGTAGGTGGAGGTAAAGAAAGAGCAGGAAAGGAAGATGGAAAAGCCCTGTTTCAGTTGCTTAAAATAAACTGGAGGTTTGGAGGTTGGAGGGGATAGAAAACCTTAAAAACCATAGAAGGCCATATGAAGAATATAAGGAAACTTGGCCTGTGTTATGGCAGATGCAAGATGTTTCGTTGCCCATCACTTTCACAGTGACAGAGGCTGATAGTGACTTACTGACTTTTGTGCCCACTTTGCAAAGGACTAGAGACCTCTCCTCTGAGCCCTTGGAGCCTTCTGTGTCACCATAGACAACAGAAGCAGCACCTGTGACGCAGTGGCAGAGACTTAAAGTGCACCTAGGTGAGCTGCAGAGGGTGTAGTAACAAAGCAGCTTCTGCCCTTCAAATCACATCTTTTTTCCTATAAGCTGTGAGTCTGGGGCAGGAAGAGTAGTACATAAGAAATAGGAGGCAATATGATTTGATGGAAAGAATGCTGAATTTGAGTGAGAGGACCTTGGGTCAGATTTTGACTTAGTTGCCTTTGTGACTTTGGACAAATCACTTGACCACTCTGGGCCTCAGTTTCTTCATCTGTAAAGCAAAGGTGGTTTACTTCTTAGGTCCCTGCTAAATCTGTGATCCCATGGGGAAAAAAATCATAGCACATCCTCCAAGTGATAAACACTATAACTCTCATGTTCTTAAGGCAGAGAAAAGCAAGACCTACTGTCATGTTGGCAACTGTCTGTAGCTCTGGCTTCTGGTATGGAAAAGATTCCAGCAGAAAGAAAGCCACATATTCAGGACATAAACTTCATTGTTTGGGTTGCAGGCTTGTGCACGCTCACAGAAAGAAAATATTCTATTGCCCCTGCGACTGACAAAGGCCAAGTGACTTTTTCATGGGGATCTTAAATTTAAACTCAACTACTTAATTAAATTGTGCTCTTTTAGTCTCCCCTTCTCCCTTTGGTTTCAGTGCATAGATAAAACAGTCTACTTACTTCCTCCAAGTTTGTAGCAGTAGATTATTCTCTTTTTAATTCGAAGTAAAATGTTTACTCTTTAGTAATGTGTCAGAGTTACTTTAGTGAAAATCAGAATGAAGTTGAGTATTTAAAATAGTGAAATGAAAAGGTCAAGAGCTCTGGCCTCTTGTTTGCTTTCAAGTACAACATACATAAATGCTATTTTTCTTTTTTTTCCAACTGTAAAGTCACAACAGCGTAAGCAGAGTAGGTTACTTGGTCATGCAATATTTAGTTGCACTTTCAAATCTAAATATATTTCTTTCTAGTTTGTAGCTGATTACAACGGACAAGATAATTTCTTACAACGAGTAGGGCAAAATGGCTTAAACAACCCAGAGAAGGAATCTACTGTTAACAGTATTTTTCAAATTATCCGAAGCTGCAATCGCAGTCTGGAACCTGAAGAAGAAGACAGCTTCAGTGAAGGCGACAATTCAAGGAAAAACTCCTTAAAGGACAAAACTCGATTGCAGTAGGTTTCACTTTTTTTCAAGAAAAAATATGAATTATTTGTGCTTTCTGAGTATTTATTCCTTTCTCATTCAAATTTGGATTTAGGTGAGCTTTATGAATTTACATCATTAATAAAAACAGTGATGATGCACTGGACAAAATCCTAGGTTGGGTACTAGGTGACTTGGTTTCTGGTCTCACCTGCGCCTCTTAGTTAGCTGTGTGACCTTTTGCAAGTAAATTTTTCTCTGGGCCTTTTTCCTCACCTGAGAAATGAAGAGATTGGGTTACATAATTTAACTTCCCTGAATGTCCTTATATTATACCTTACCTGTTCTATACTTCTTTTCTAATTTAGCTGCTTTCATAAAATAATAGCTTGCAAATGAGAGCTTTCCATTTGTTACATGAAATTTTAGAAACCATATGGCCAGTCATTTCAGAACCAGAACTATGATATCCTTTTTTTGAGAATCTGTATTATTTGTGACTTTAAAGTGTTTGTTTTTTAAGGTGAAAAATGTTTTTACATTTATCCTTGCATATGAAAGTGATTTACTTGTAATCACTGACTGGTTTTAAGTATGTTACACCAAGTTTTCATTGCTGGCTAGGCACATATATGCTTACATGACCTTGACTTCAAATTACCCAAAGTTAGGAACATTTTAAAATCATTCAGAACTATTAGGACTATTAGTTTTTACATAAACAAAATTCTGCTAAGTGGGAACAACCATACACCAGGAATTCAGAACAGTGTTTAGGTTTTTCTCTATAAAAATTTGGGTTTTGGGGCAGCTAGGATAGAGCACCAGCCCTGAAGTCAGGAGGCCCTGAGTTCAAATGTGACCTCAGACCAACCACTTGACACTTACTAGCTGTGTGACCCTGGGCAAGTCACTTAACCCCAACTGCCTAAAAATTAAAAAAATTAAAAATTAAAAAATAAATTAAAAGATGAAAATTTGGGTTTTACCTAATAATTACTGCATAAGTTTTGTCTCCTAACCATCTTCCTCCCCTTCCCCTTCCCTTATATACAAAAGTTTTAATCTTAAACTTTACCAGAGTGAATTCAGATAAAATCAAAAGTAAAGAAGATGCATTTGTCCCCAGGAATAGAGTGAAACAAATGATGCACAGTGAGCTGAGACTATAACCTCTTGTGTGTGTATATGGCTTTCTTCTTCTCTTCCTCTTCTTCCTCCTCCTCCACATGCCATAGTGATAATATTAGCAAGGAAATAAATGCAAGATCATTTACCCTTCAAGTAGGAATTGAGATTTCTAGATGGGTCCTGTGATCACTAAGGGTGAGATTGTGAAATATAGATCAGCTTATCTACGTCTGATCTCCTAAAGTCTTTGTTTTGTGGTTGCCCATAATTTCCAGGTCTAAAACCCTGTTTTCTCTTCTCTTTTTCCCATCTTTCAGTGTTTCCTAGTTCATACCTATTTAGTTCTCCACTGCAACTAAAAAAGGCTTTCATTTTTTTTATACCTACTGTAATGACTACTTTCTGTTTTCCTCCTTAAATATTGTCACTAATCAAGGGGAAAACCATCTACAATGACTGGTATTACTCACTGAAAATAGGGTGAAAAATGTTTTGCAAGCATCAATCACTGTCTTCCTCCCAGATTTGATTAGACTTTATTTGAAGTGTTTTATAGTACTATTCTCAGGATGTAAAACTCACTTTATGTGCATTTGCATGCATTTTACTTAAGACTGTGTGGCATTTGTACTCTATTATAATTTGTTTCCCTTCTCTGGTAGAAAGCTGCTCTATTGTCAGGACTGTGTTTGCTTACTTGGAATTAGCAAATATATCATTTTACACTTGACATACAACTAAACCTTCTTTATGGAGAGTTTTAATTTAAAGTGTCGACTTAAATACTTCTACATATGGCAGATTCTGTTGCCTTTCATGTTCATTGTCAATATAAATATCCATAATTATCTTCTGTTGGGTTCATAGTTTTAAGTTTTTTCCTTGTCAGCAAATTAGAGGTCATATGATCATAAATTAAGCTGAAAGGGATCTAGGGAACATCACGTACAACCTGATTATTTTACAGGTGTGGAAACTGAGGCCCATCAAAGTGAAGTGACTTGCCTAGGGTCACGTGGCTATCAGGGACAGGATTTGGACCCAGGTTTTCCTGATACCCCCCTCCTCCAGTTCTTTATATTATGCTGCTCTTCGATTTGATATTTGCAGTGCTAACAACTTTAGCGTTTTTGCAGTGTTCCCAAATGGTTTTTCACACTTTAATATGGCCTCTTGTCATTCATAAATGCACATCCCTCTTTCTAAATGTGAGTATGAGTTTGTGCATGTGTAAGTGTAACTCTGTCAGAAGCCAGTTAGACTCTGAGGACCCAAGAGGCAAGAGAGGAGTGTAATGCTCCTAGTAAGAGGCAGAAAGAGTTGGGGGAAAAAAAGGCTTCTGAACACTTACGTACCACATCTCTCCCTAATATGCTTATTGCTCCTTTCTTCAGCTGTTAGGTACAACCTCTGTCTCAGATATGATGAACAGTCCCCTAGCTCTTCAGCTCCTGAAAGTCACCAGAAAATCTCTGTGAGATGAGGGTGGAGGGGGTCCCCATCAGTGTGCCAGGGCCTGTGTCTCTCTTCAGCAAGATATGGCATGTCCATTCTGGCTTCTCTGCACAAGGTCATCACTCTCTTAGGTTAAAGAGGACCAAAATGAGGTGAGGTAAGATCATCTGCACTTCTGCTTCTTGGGTCTTCTGACTCTCATTGGCCCCTGAGGCCACACACACACACGCACACTGCATACATGTGTACATACACACACATAAGCACAAAAACCGAGGAAGAAGGCAAGGTCATTGTCTTCTGTCATATTGTCCCACATTCTTGTCTTTATCATGTATATCTGCTGGTAGTAAACCAGCCTTAGCTTTTCTTTAATCAATGGTCAGCAAGCATTTACTATATACTTATTATGTGCCAGACACTCTCCTAAGTGCTGAAGATACAAAGAAGGCAAAAACATGGTCCCTGCCCTCAAAGAACTCTCGTTCTAATGGGGTATACAAGATGCAAATAACTCTGTACATATAAGAAGTATTATATGATGCAGATGAAGGGTAGTCTCACAGGGGAGCACTCTGGGAGTATGAAGGGGATTCCGTAGGAAAGGGTCCTGTAGGAGATCATGTTTGAGCTGGGAGACATCCAGCGAAAACGCAGGGAGTTGGGAGTTGTAGTGTTATATGCCAGGAACAAAACCGGATCATTGAGTATGTGTTGGGGAGTAATGTGTAAGAAGACTGGAAAGGTAGGAAGGGGTTAGCTTACCAAGGACTGAATGGAGGACAGATTGGAATGGGAAGAGACTTGAAGCAGGGAGACCTACCAGCAGACTGTTGTGATAGTCCAAGCATGATGTGACATGGGCTGGCAGAGAGGGTGGTGGCTGTGTGAACAGAAGGAGTGTGTACGAGGAGTGTTATGAAGGTGAAACTTGTCAACAGCTTGGGTATGTGGGTTCAGTGAGAATGAAGAGTCAAGGATGACAACTATATTGTGAGTTTGAATGACTGGGAGGATGGTAATAGTTATAGGGAAACTTAAAGGTAAGGATTGGAGCAGGGGAAGTAGGGAGGAAGAGATAGTAAACTCTGCTTTGGACATGGTTTTTTTCATTGTATTCAGTGTGTGTGTGTGTGTGTGTGTGTGTGTGTATGTATGCATGCATACACGCGCATGCACATATGCAATAGTTATAGTATAACTGGTCTGGCTTGTAAAAGTAACATTGAAAAACTCATTTAATCATGGCATGGGAAAATGAGAGAAATACCTGCACACACAAATACACACACATACACACACACATATGTATTATATGTTTTGTGTATATACACATAGTCTGATCATGTCACACATAATCACACATACGCATTCATTGAACTCCAGTGGTTCCCTATTACCTCCAGGATCAATTATAAACTCTTCTGTTTAGCATTTAAAACTTTTCATAAGCTGATCCCTTCTTGCCTTTTTAGAAAAGATCTCTATATCCAACCAAAATCTTCACTGAATCCATGAAAATGATAGTTAGCGCTGGTACTCTAGAATCAAAAAACCTGGGCTGCAATGCCATCTCTGACAATTACAACCTTTGGGATCTTGGGAAAGTTACTTAGTTGCCTTATCTATAAAATAAGAGGTTTGGACTAGACAGGGCATTTATGTAAACAAGAATTTATTAAGGGCCTATTGTGTGCCAGTAGCTAGGGACAAATTCCATCCAATAAGTTGGCAAGAGAGGATTCCTCCTATGCGCATATGGAGTGTGGTCTCACACAGGTTACCACACTTCAAATACACATATGAAGAGAACATAGGGACAGCTAGGTGGTGCAGTGGATAGAGCACCAGCCCTGAAGTCAGGAGGACCTGAGTTCAAATCCAACCTTAGATACTTGACACTTACTAGCTGTGTGACCCTAGGCAAGTCACTTAACCCAATTGCCCCACTAAAAAAGAGAGAGAGAGAGAGAGAGAGAGAGAGAGAGAGAGAGAGAGAGAGAGAGAGAAAGAACATAAACCAGGAACATATATAGAGGTTACACATGTAAGAAAGTGTTGAGCAGGGGCCACATGTGTTAAAGGGACATACATGGCTAGGCTATGTATGTGGCCAGAACAACTCGATACCCCTGATGCTGCAGAACTGCTAATGTCTTCCAGTGATATCAGAGTCAAGCATTTGTTAAGTGTCTTCTCACTGACAGGCACTGTGCTAAGCATAGGACAGTCCATGCTCTCAAGGAGCTCAAAATCTATTGGGAGAATACAACACATTAAAAAAAAAAACCTGAAAAAGAGGATGGAAGAGGATACCTAGTGCCAAGGGCATGATGAATTCCTGCACCTAAATGGAAAATGATGAGGTGAATGCCCTGAGCACCCTCTATCATGATGTTCTATGCTAGGTATCAATTGCATCACTCTCACATCTTCACTCCAT